CAATAGTTTAGCACAATGTTATATGTATTCCCATCTGAAGCAACTCCTACTTTCCGCCATAATCCATAAAGTGTCTCAACACACATTGTGTTTACATCCAACTTCCATCTGATGCTTCCGGGCTGCGTTCAAGAGCGCAAACACTACCACAGTCCACTATTGAAATATAACTGTATTACGTAGCTGGCGTTGGGGTTTGTGAATACACCGTAGAGTATGCCTAGATAAAAGAAAGACTTACGGTAACAGTAGGAAGATTCCTACTGGTTATCATCAGTGTTCGAAATAAAACAATATATGTTATAACGGGATATACAGTATTTATTACATCATACTTATTATAAAACCAGTTGTGTGTGTCTGTACGTTTATATATTGGATCGGATTTCCTACATATTTCAACCGATTTCAACAAAACTTCACAGGACTACTTAAAATTACCTTACGGTGGTTCTGACAGCACCAAAAATTGGAAAAACACAATTGTTTTTGCACGAAATCAATTTGAAAACTCGATTAAGAGGCATCGCGAGAATGAAAGGGGGACAACTCATATCGAGTTATATTTATTATAAAAAACCCCAGGTTGTTTGTGTGTGTGTGTCCTGTTTATATATGGGATCGGATTTCCTACACTTTTCAACCGATTTCAACAAAACTTCACTTTTTTTTTGGCTGGTAGTGTTTCTTATTGTCTTGCACACTTATTTCTTTATTTTTACATTCAGATATCTTTAAAAAAAATTTTTTAGACAATTGTTTATAATAAAATTCTATTCAATTGGTAGACTCATAACGATTGAAAACAATGTTTTTGTTTGAGTTTGGGTTTGACCAATTCGTAAAAAAGCAAAAATAAAAAATGACAAACAAAAAACAAACAAAAAACAAAAAAAAACAAAAACTAATCAAGACATGCGTGTCCGTCAGCCTTAAACAATAATCTTTGTCAATTTTATTTTTCAGTCTTTATGATGGTCGATACATGATCTATCTCTTACTGTTACATCCCCGGGCAACGCCGGGCTCTACTGCTAGTAATAGCTAAAAAGATACCTTATCAAGCGACATTTAAGTCAGCTCGTGCGGAGGGCTCTTCATTTGGGCCTTCATCAAAATAGATAGGGAGGGAGAGGCAACAATAAACTACAGAACTCAAAATTTAAATTTTACATTAATATTTAATTAAAATTTAAATTTACATTAATATTTAAGCTTACTTTTAAAAGTTCAATGATAATTCTTCTGTCGGCATTTGATTTAAAGACAATTTGATATACGGAGTCCTTTACTTTCTGTACAAACAATTATTTTTTATTTCATGGATGGCTTTCGCTGGGTTTCGCAATTAATTGCGATTATTTCCAATTTTATATCCAAGTTATATAAGTTGTCATCGTAAAAAACGCTGAAAACAATCGCCGTAATGAAAACTTGGAAATCCAAAGTGTCTGTAACATGAGCTACTGAAAGTTTTGTCCCTTTAAATGAAAAAGTGTAACACACTGACATTTATTATATAGAAGAAGATGAACTATTGAAAATTAGAGAGTTGCGTCCCTTCAGTCGAAAAAGTGTGACACTGTAACACACAAACATTCGCATTTGTTATATGGATGAATGATAATTGTAAGCGTATAGTATATATCCGGGGCTCTTGTTGCATCTTGTGACTGGGGTTCGTGGTTGTTGGCAAGTTTTTCGCTACAACTTGACAATTCAATGCTAAGACGCAGGGTGATTTTTGAAGGCATTTTTCAGGGGAAATGCGTCTTATCATACGGGAAACACAATAAACTAAGCAGCGAGGCGGTCTTTATAGAACTAGAAGTTCTACTAGAATGTATTATTGGTGGCACAGTCTTAGCATAAGATAAGCAGATGAGACAGCCCTATTGACAGACAGAAGGGCAGCTCGGCGTGGTGCAATGGTTAGCAAGCTTGTCTCGCTAAAACAGTTACGACTGAATAGTAAGTTCGATCCTCACCAGGTATCCCATACTTTCGACCTTGTGCCACATCTAAGCCGCGCTTAGA